CTGCTGACCCGGTCCCCTCCTCTCCCATCTCACCCTTCCACTTGATCCCCCCACCAGCCAACACAAGCGACTCCACCAGCCAAGCCCAGCTCCCATCCCCTACACCAGCCACTGCAGAAGAGGGACTGATGTTTCACACAGTACATTGCAGAGAAATGGGAATTTGCATCCAAGTGAAATACATTTTTCTGAGAAAAATAAAATGAAAAAGTGGACTGTGTCATATGAGACACTCGCAGAGGTGCCCAAAACATTTTCTTGTTAACATATTAAGGACACCCTGAAAAGAGAGCACCAGCACACTGGCATCACACTGCTACCTTGGATGAGGAGCCTTATGTCTCACCTGAAAGAGGTATTTCAGTGACACAGAAGTACACCTGCATTTCCAAGGTCAGCTTTGTAGACCTAAAGTTTATTAAGTGCTGCTGAAAGAGTAAGAGAGAGTGAAAGACATTCCAGGTGTGCCTGGAGAGAAAAAAAAGAACTGAAAATGGCATTTTCCCCAGTATGACAAACCTTTCAGGCAGCAGAGGACTGACTGGAGCTTCTGCAGCACAGGAGAGCTGTTTGCAGCTACAAGACAAAGATTTATTTATTTTAAGCCTTATCAACTGCTGCTGCTGCACAACCAGCACATCTGTAACACTACTAAGGAGATAAGGTTTTGATACAGTGGCATTTTGGGGGAGGCAGTATATACTTAAACAGAAAATCTGTCAAATATGAAGTGCTTATATCTTACCTGGAAATGATTCCTTGAAAAACAGGTTATACTTTTAAAGGCCAACACAATTTTGTATTATTTTAATCTTAATGCTAAAGGAAGATAGAAAAAGCATATTCACAATGTCAACACTTAGCTGGAAAACTTTGTATTGCTATCTAATTATGCCATCTGCCCTGCTTTTGGATCTATATAAAAAAAACCCCAAACTGGATCTTACACACTTGTTAGCTGGGTACAAGCACCATCCGTAGCTATATCAGAATAAAACAAGTTATAAGGACTCAGCTCAACAGCATTGGACTCTTTATGTAGTACATACCACACAGCAATATCATGATGGGGTTGGGGTTCATACTTGCCACAAAACACCTCAAGGCACTCGGCATATCTTGTTCTCACCACCTACAGTAAAAGATGCCCCAAACCTGAAGGAATCTGCAGGCACTGTTGTTGGCTTCCCTACCCAGAGGTTGGATATCTTGTGATTTCCTCTCCAAGGACATGCAAATAAGGTGAACATCCAGGACAGCCACCTCCAGATCAAACACCAGAAGACTTCCAGCACCAATCCCTCCCCAGTAAGTTTCAATCCCTGGTTCCAGGTCGTCTCTGGATTTGAGAGAGGAACATCACTGGATCCCACATCACTACAGTTCACCTCTGGAGAGATTTCTGTACCTGTAACCCTCAACTTACGCTGTACTAGAACATTTTCTAACAAAACAATGTAATATCCAACTTATCAAAGTAAGGAAATCACTTATTTTCTTTTTCACTGAACCGTGGTGAAAAAAAGGTCACTGTTTTATTCAGCATCATAGTCACATAACAGTTGTCTGTTTCTATTACTAGAAAGAATTTATTAAAATAGTCCTGAAAGACAGCTTTTCTTTCTCCAATGATTTCAAAACTATGCCTTTTAATGCCAATTCCACACAGTCACGGGTTGGATCGGTAGTAGTCGGTTATAAGCAATCGTCAAGGCACAAGCTCAGCTCTGCACATCCGCTGCAGCTTGTATTGGAAAAAGAGATATGCCACTTACATCCTCACTTAAATGCATAATCCCTTTGTCATATATTGCAACAGGAGAAATTAACATTAAACACAGACTACGAAAGGTAAAGGATTTATTTCTGATATGATTTGTAGAGTTAAATTAAAAACCTACTGAATACTTTATGTATTAGATGAACATAACCTTAGTACTTACTTTCTAACAGTTTATTTAATGGTTGGAAGTGTACAACATGAAGTAGGCCTTACGTTTAATATTGTTCAATTTTGCTTATTGTTAGATGAGATTAAAATACAGTAGACATCCCTTTAGATTATGTTGCAACACTGATCATGTGCCTTGATAAGTAGGAACAATAATTCATTAAATAAATGGTGATGACATAACATGTAGGGAAGACTTTGGATTGTCTATTTAAAATGTCAACATAATAGGCAATTAAGAATAAAACTTCATTTTAAGTGCACTTCCACAAGCTTTGTTTATAATAAAGCAAAAACTTCCTATCTTTTTTCCAAACACTTCACTCCCTACTCTAAAGCTGTTCAGTTGAAAATGCACTTTCCCCAGTAAACGTCTTTTTTAAAAAAGTAACTAAAATTTCTACCCTTTCTTATGCTAAGAAATGTTTCCTAATTAAAAACACAGTTTATTACAAGACATGTGAAGACAACATATAGTGAAATGAGATTTAATTGTTGTGCTGTGACTAAAGTAAAGTTCTCAAGGCTGCAATTTAACATTCCAAGTTCTCCCTTCCGTCTTTATTGATTCTTAAGATTTTGCACAGAAACTCTTTGGGGGCTAGAACAGCAGTAATTGCATCACACTGTTTTCCAAGACTTCAAGTTTCAAAAGCAAACTCTTCAAAAAGTACAGTTCTTGATTTGATTAGATACAGGGACAAAAATATAGCACATACTTGAAGGTTACATGGTCTACAAATGATGGCAATATTTTCCTTGGGAGAGTACAGTTTGTTTTCTTGTAAATACTCAAAAAGGCTCAACTTCAAGCAGTAATAAACACAAGCAAAAGTGATTTAACCCTTAAAATAAATATTCAGGAAAACCTCTCTGTACATACAAGTGAAAGAATATGTAACACTTTCACGCTAAAAGAAAAAATAAAGATTTTGTTCATATAAGCAGCTGAAATCTGCTGTTCCAGCCCAATGTCCCCAGTAAAGAAGGGAGGCACAAACACAGGTGACTACTGTAGCTCGCTATCTTATGGCCTTTTTAGACAGGGACATCATCACCATCATTTTTTAATCCCTTTTGTTATATTCATTACAGCATGCCAAATCCTTTGGCATATGTGATGGCCTTCAATAATCTCTCCTTAAGCTTTTCTTTGCTCGAGTACTCCGGAAGCAAAAGTACATTAAAGCATGTGTGAGATGTAGGTAACCTGTGGGGAAAACAAAGGAGAAAAGAAGAACAAGAATTCAGATCTGGGAACATGCAGTACCTGCAAAGAAATACATCGCTCTTTCACACATCCAAAATAATGAATTTAAAGAGAATCTGCTTTGCTTAAAGATTCAACTTTCCAGATTTAACCAAGTTAACTTAAAAGCAGAGAATTTGCTTCCATTTATAAACAAACAAGCAAAATGTTGAAATTTTTTCTTTTTTTTTTTTTTTACCTCTCTGTATCTGGGCCATTTTTGGCTATGATCATCTTTAACTTTCCAAGTCCTCCCACGGGGGCTCTGTCTGTGCCTGTTGTAAACTGTAAGAATAATCTTTTCTGTTCGTCTGTAAATGAATGGACAATTTCCCAGAATTCCCTATGAAGAAATAAAAAAGTGAACTGAAATCTCTGGTATAAATGAGACTCTTAGAAGTAACTGAACTTTGAATGTTTAGTAATACTAATTAATCCTAACAGCAAGTTTACAAGTTGCATTCATAAACCAAGCCAGTAACTTATTTACCAATCAATGAGATTCAGAAGTAATCAGAATTAAAACCAAAAAACTGCAGTTTAACTGTTTTTAAATGTTAATTCAGCTGATAAGTGATCTGCGAATATTCTTTCTTTATTTTAGTATTCCCATTTCCTAAGGAATTATAGTGGCTCCACTACACTGCCCATTTCTAGCACTGTCTTAAACACTAGAGTAAACAAATGCAGCTGCTGTCAAAGGTTTTCTACCCTAGCAGGAACTAGTTAAGTAGTTGGCAAAGTCTAGAGCACTGAAGATGCACACTTCCCTAACCCTTGTCTTCAGAGTTCTCTAGTCAAAGAGGACAAGAGGGTAGAGACATCAAAAACACTGAATTTACTTGATTTCTAATTACAGCAGAATGGTCTACACATGCAACCTATTTAAACAATTCAGTGTTTGTGATTTAAACAACAGCAAAGCAGTGGTAATTTATTTAAACAGCCCTGTTTATACTGGGTGTACTATATGGTATGGTATGAGAGACAAAAAACCCAGGGAAAAATCCCTTTTAAGCTTTACCAAAGTTCACTGGAAGCTAGAGACAGTACCTACACTATCTGCTCTTTTCTAATGACAGTACTTGAATAAAATGGAATTATACGTGAGACACTTGAATCTCCAGCACTACAAAAATACTAAATCTTACAATACTAGGAAGAAACAGCCATGTAAAGTGCTTTTCATCTTTCAGAAAGCAGAAAAAAAAATTACCTAATAATAAGAGAGTCTCTTGTATAGCCACCATCATATTCTGTAGTTTCTTCTAGTGCTTGAAAATCTAAATTCTGTAAGAAGATGACATTTTTTAAAATGACCACTAGTTATGTACTTAGGATCAAAAAAGCTCCACTTTCTGGTGTACATTCAGGATTCTTACCCTACTTCCACATATAAGTAATTCAATTTCCTCTGGTCTAAATAAATATTTCAAAGGAGATTCATTGGTCACCATGTGGAATCCTCTCCGAAAGGCCTTGAACTGCTTTTCTACTGATTTATTGAGTATATAGTCAGCATACAGATTGACAAATTCCTGTAAGAAAACAATCCCCAAAAAAAACTTAGTACTTTAACACATGCCACTCAAAGCATTTCCCAAAAATATAAGATCCAGAAATACATATAATTCTACTTAGATTATCTGGGCTCAGCTTCTACTCAGCAATAATAAAGACCAAGTCCCACATATTTCTCAGACAGGTCAAGCACTGCATCCAGAAGCTATGTATCGATGTTTTCTTTAAAAAGATAAGCCTTTCCTGCTTACAACTACACTGTGCTATAGCAATTTAAAAAGGCTTTTAAGCTTAAATCAGAAGTGAGACCAAACCTTTATAGTGCTACACAATTCTGCATAGAGTATCTAAAAATTACAGATTACATTAAAAAAAAAATCAAATAAATCATTTGAGTGTACCTTTCTATTTTCATTCGTAATAGGAATTTTATCACCGTTTTCCTTTAAATCATGCATCATTGGATTGCCAAAGAGATCCGTGTGAGATATTTGAAACGTTATCATCATATCATCTTCCACACTTCCTTCATACTCTAGCAAATCTCTCAAACTCTGGTAAAGAACCTAGAGAATAAAAAATACACGTCTGTCAAACAAATTTCAGGATTTCACTGAGTAATACCAGAAGACAAAGTCATCTGCTCAAAAAGGGTTGTTGCATTCTATGACACAAGTCCCCCAAGATCTCCCATAATAGTCCGAACAAAGGTATGTTAAACTGAGTATTTGAAAGAGCCACCGATAGCAGATATTAAGGAAAGATAAAAAAGAAACATGGCAATGAATGATAAGTCCCTTAGAAAAGCCTACTAGTACACAGGAATATTCCTAAATGCAATGGTCAAACCTGTAGCTTCAAAGCCACTGATTACCTCTTTATCATTCAACTCTCTTGAAACTGTATTTACTTTTGGCACCCAGAACACATTACACTAGTAAGTTGAACATACACGTATTGAAATAAAATGCTGTATCTTATATCAGATAAAATCCAGGCAGCAAGCTTTTGTCTTCTACATCTTGATTTAAAACCCAAACAAACTAGGAAGTAATCTTGAAGCAACACAGATGGGGCAGTCATTAAAGTAAGAAAACATTTATGCACCAAGAAAAAATAAATAAAAAAAAAAAAAATCTTAAGTTAGGTCAGAATTTGCCAAGTGGAATCTGAAATTAACTGCAAGAACTTGCTCTATTCAAAGGAGCAACCAGCCTTCCCTCTTTGCTATGCCTCAGGAAAAGCTCAAGACTCTCTTGGAAACCAAATGCTACACACAGAAGGAACAATTATTTGGCTGAGGCAGAGGTGTAAGACTCAAGAATGCAAAATAAAGGTAAAGCAACAACTGAGTGCAACTATATTTTTTATAGTGAAGTAGAAATAATAAATTTCTCATCAGTGTTTCAATTATGGAGAGTTTACACATAAGCCTCATCTTTTCACTATCTGTATGCTTTTGATTCTTCCACAGCACCTTTAAAGTATCTTCCATTGACAGTGACTGGACTTGGAACTGCTGGCGTAAGGGCTGGTGAACACTATAATGTCCATGCTCTAGCAGTTGGACTTGATGATCTTAAAGGTTTTTTCCAACCTAGCTGATTTTATGATTCTACTCATCTTTTTTGAGTAACTGAAGGTTTGCCTAAGTGCTTATGAAAAGTGAAATGAAAGGAAGCATTTCAACTCATGCTAGCTAGCATGAGAGAAAGCTGCTGGTGATCTTTAATTGCAGATGAAGCAGGGCAAGTCAACCCTGCATAGCTGCTTCTGTGCTCTATATACTAAAACGCGTGCATGGCTTAGTGCTTTTGTATAGCCACTGTCTGGGGAGAGGTAGGGAAGATGGATACTGATCATTGCTCCCAAACTGTACAGATATTCAGACTGCCTCATCATACCTTTTTGTACGTCTACTGTTACTTGCAAATTTGTTGTAGAAATCTACTTCTATAAATAGATATAAACAGCCTAATTTTAGAAGTCTCTTTGGGAAGATACTATGAATAATGGTTAATGCTTAGTAGTGCTTAGTGGTATTAAGCAATTTAGGCAGTATGTAAAAAAAAAATAAAAATGTAACAAAGCTTTACTGATACCCAGACCTATTTGTTTACTTGACAATTCTACTTCCTCCAAGCCAGATGTGGTAAGAGATCTTATTGCTTATGAATTTATTTAATACATACTCTTCACACAAGTCACTGGTTATTTCACTTCCACTTTCGACAGTGATCTTGTATTTGCATTAAACCTAGATCAAGTTATTGCATGACAAATGCATTGATAAACTCAAAGAACATAATGAACTTACAGGATGAGAGTCTGCCAGATCACGGAAAGTTCCTTTTTTGCCCATTAGCTTCCTGTAGACAACCATGGGAAAATGTACGTCCAGTATACAGTTATTGTAAATAGCCAGCCCCAGTACTATGCCAATCAGTGTAAACTGACCCTCAGTTTCAAAAGAGGACGGATTAAACCAAAACAGTTTTGTAGATTCATCGTATGTGAACATCCCTGTAAAAAAAATGAAGTTGAACAATCCTGGTCACATTTCAATAAAAATGACATGTAAAACATACCATTATAAACACATTTGCATTAGAATACCTTTAAAACATGCTTAACATTACAGTGAATTTAATGTGAAGAGAACCTACTTACCTTAGGGTAATTGGAGCTGCTCAAAATACTGCTACTCACATTACCACTACAAGCATGCAGGAGACCTGCAATATAACATCCTGCAATGCCCACTGAACCTGTACATACACAACCTTTCATCACCTTCCATTACCGAGGAAGCAGCAGCATATTGTCAACATCGATTGTAACTTTGCTAAATACAACAGGGCAAGAAAAGAACATAATCAAAACCCACATGGATGAAATAATCCTAAAGAACTCCAATTACTATAAAGTGATAGCCTTTCCTCAAAGGCTTTTCCAGGTCAGTTTCAGCAAAGGAACAGGACTAGATGCAGCCCTGCATTGGAAACTATGAGGATGGAGCAGGGATTAACCATCACATATAATCTTATAGAGTCAGATCCCCAACAGATGTGGGTTTTGTTTGCTTGTTTAAAGGTACTTGGCAAGGCCTGGTCTTGCTGCAGCTATCACATACATCTTAAGGAGAAAATGTAACATGGGACTCTGTAACATAGGACTGTGTTTCACAGGAGGGGTTGCAACTTTTAACAGCTTGTCACTGTTGAAAGGGAGAGGTTCTGCTTTGCTCCCCTATCTCACTTCATCTGATTCAGCTCATTGTTTCAGGTGACCAATTTTCTGCCAAGTCCACAAGCTGAGTACCTTCACAGAAGGCTTCAACAAGTGGCCGAACTGGCACATACCAGGAGCTACAGGGAGTGGATAGGACTGTACAGAGAAGGGAAGGGCAAAGACTCCCTTAACCCTTTTGGCTGTAAGTTAGCTCTTGTTTATGAAACCCAAATTTCTGCACAGGCTATAAACTATTTAAATGAATCCCACAGTAAAATCCATTACCTTACTAGATACTGAAGCAAGATAAATGCAAAGCCCATAGACTTAAGGGGAGAGAGAGACAAGTATAGTCACCGTGACCTGTTACTTTTACAGCTCAGTCTCATGATTTCCAGGCAGAGCCTAAGGAAAAGTGCCCAGGCTCCTTCCTCCCAACACAACAGAAATTAGATGCACACAGTCAACAACATGAACTACATTTGCCACAAGGATTTATCCTGTCAGTTCTTAAAAGATATGCTTATTTACAACCTATTGAGATGGTACAAATTGATTACAAAGCCATATAAACAGAGCCACAGAATTACTCCCAAGACTAAAAACGTCACCTTCAGCCAAGAGATAATGCCTGAACTCTCATTCAGTGTAAGGAAATGAACTGCGAACTCATTCAGAGACTGGCTGTTCCCCAAAATTGAGGATTATTTATCACAGTAAGATACTAGGACAGGGCCAGCTATTAGGGGAAGCACACAAATAAGAAGACTAACACGTCAGGTAAGGCAACTGGAAATCAGAAATGGATGAGCAAGACAAGCATATATAGGAGAAATGTTAAAGAGAAGCCTGCATTCCATTTTTTTGAACTGACTGAAGTAACTTCTGGATTATTAGCACAATAAAAGCAATGACTTGTACTTTTGGAAGATGATGGAAGAGTTAAACAGTCAAAATAAACAACTTCAGCAAATGTCTAATAATTAAGGACTAACACTTTACCCAGAACAACATCTGGAAACACTTTAATGTGAAATACGGTATTTTATTCATTGACCAAAACTAAGATTATAGTACATTAAAATAATAATGAAACACCAGAAGAAACTGGAAGCTGCAATAAGACAAAACCAATTGTATAGCGTTGGTCAGAATATTGTATGAAGTTATTCCTTCTTCCCTTTTACCATGGTGACTGTTGGTCATAAATCCAATTTTGCCTGAGTTATTACCTCCTTTGAGTAAAAATTTATAGTAGTTTAAAATGAAAATACTTGAAATGTAATGGCAACAAAACTGTTACAGATATAAGCAAGACTCCACACATACCTATCAGATGACATTTTAAATTCCATTTAAAGTATTTCCTTCATTTTCTCAGGTAAATAAAGTGTTTACAATTCAACAAAAATCCACTTGGCATATATGGTGTATAAACCGTTAAACTGCAGTGCACATTAACAGGTGCAAATGAAGACTACGAATGCAAGCTACATTTTCTGGTTTTGCACGTTTATGCCAAAAGCCAATAAATGCCCTTCCCCCTCCAAAGATTGATATGAATACAAAAAGTGTACTTACTTTTTTGTATTTTGAATACAGAAATAAAACATAAAGCATGCATGCACATCTAATCTATTACCCATCTTTATACACAGGGAGCATATATACACTGGCTGGATCTCAGCTGAATCAGACTTCAGTTACTAAATGGGATTATTTCAATATAGGCATTCCACACAACTTCTGATTAGCTAAACTCAGGTAAAAAGAAAACAACCAACCAACCAAAACAATGTATTTTGCACTGGAAATACACCTCTTTTAAAGTAGTGAGACTTCCTTATTTTGCTATACTCCAATTTATTCCAAGTAACCTTGCTAAGTCAGATTCCAAATCTCTCCAAGTTAATGGCAGATTTCAGAGTAAGACTTGTCTATGGATCCATATTGCTTGTTATAAGAACTGGCTTGTATACAGTTAACAGCAGGTGCCAAGGTTCAGATTCTGTTGCTGATTCTGGGGATGTCCTCTTCAACCCAAACAAAATGAATTTTTATGTTTATTCATCAATTCTCTAAGCTACAAAACCAAGAACAGCAGCTTTATTTTTTAAAACAGCTCAATGAACCCAAATTAACTAATGGCCACAAGCTGTTGAGCCACTGTTGTTCCACTATGGGAATTGCAATGTGCCATCGCAGTTCACAAACTATGGAATTAGTATAGGAACCTGGCAGGTCTCATTTCTGTTCTAACACAAAGTATTAGTACCATTTTAAACATTTTGATCTTTTCAGAGCAGCAGACGAGCTGCATATTAAAAGCAGCATGTCCTTGCATGTATAAAGGCAGAAGCATTAGAGACTGGTGCAGGGAGCAGGGAGATAAAAAAAAAGTAAGATGGAAATGCAACTGTTAAAACACAAGCATAAAACTTTGGCTCTGATATATCAGTATCTCTTAGCTCCAAGTAACTACAGTGAAATTTGACATTACTTCTACACTTTGGATTTGTACCCCTTTTAGATGAAATCATTAGAAGAACTGAGACTATCAGATGTTTTAAGCTGGAGGAAGGGGAGGAAATAAAAACTCACCATAAGTCCTACTCTGGTTTTATTGCAGAAGCTCTTCCTCTCTGGTTTGATTACTAATTCTAGAAGCTAATCACAAAGCAAAGCGAGGAGAAAGGTGAGAGAACAAACACAGGAACCCTGCAAAGAAACCCTATACTACTGATTTATCTCCAAACAAGCAGTGGTAGCTTTCACTAGCTATACACATGCTTTTCATCATTCCTCCGTAGGAGGATGACTGATGATAAAGACATAGTGAGCCTCAAGGGGTCAGACACTCTCATGATCACCAAGAAATCTGGAGAGCTTCAGAAAGAAGCAGCAGCAGATACAGAAAGGCACTGCATAAATAGAACAGCCCAGGTTGGAAGGGACCTTGAAAGATCATCTGCTCCAACCTCTTGTGTGAAAAATTTGATAAATTCATAAATTATTATAGCACATACCAATATCTGGATTGAAGATTTCTTCCACAACCAGTTGAAAAAATTCTTTGGAAACACCTCCTTCATCTACCCCTTGCTCTCCTTCAAATTCAACATACAATTGCTTCTTCAAGTCTGCAGGATTTTCCATGGCAATCATCTCTAGCTATTGAGTGAACAGACAGAAGTATTTCATTAGTAAATCTGTTTACTAGAAGAGTTGATTGAATATCAAATAATGAGATCAAAACTATCCTCCAAACCTAAGAAAGCAAGTATAAATCTCAACAGTAAAATATGAGAAACCAATAGTAATGCTAAATCACTCTAAGCCTGTATCAGAATTTGGGGATTAACACAGCAAGAAACTTACCACAGATCTGATCTGTTAGCCAATTAAGGCTGTTAGCCTTCTCCATTTCTATTCTTTTAAGCACTTATTTGAAATAAGTTAGCATTGTGTTGCACAAAATTCACAGAAAACAGTATGAAAACAAGATGTATTACTGGGATAATTAAATTCATCTGACAATGAAGAGACTGCAATCTGATCTACATGTTTGACAACAAATGGTTTTGTGAAGGGATTACACGGATATGTTTTCAGAGTGAAAGACAGAAGACAAGCCTTTGACTAGTAATTGCATCTCACAAACAAAGAGCTGGAGAAAAAACACCCCAGAAATTAAAAGACACTAGGATTACAGTCAAATCGGTCTCTCTTTCTTTTGACGCTAATGAAGAAGTCTCAGAAATCTCTTGCTCTTATTTCTTCAGTGCCTTTAAACAGATCTACTGCACTGCCTCCATGAAAGTGAATATTCAGTTAAGGTCAAATACAAGTTGCAATGTCTCACAGGAAAAGATTTCGTGTCTACATAAAGGCCATTACAAGTCTTTCACTTTCTTACAACAAAAATGTATCCTTTCAGTTAATGAAAAGTTATGCACGAATAATTTGCAGCTGATAATATGCTGCTTGAAAGCAAAAATATATTTGTTAAACCTGAGCAACATGATTACATTAAACTCACCTACATGGCAAAGAAAATGCAACAGCAGTAAAGCACAAATCGACCGGTGCATTCCTCTACCAAGACTCTATTACTGGTGAGAGTTGCCTCTAATCTGAGCTAGTGGGACCTGTACTTACCACCAGGTGTCCTTAACACACCGAACCTCTTCTTTCTATGTCACTACCCTACCTTACCCACACACACATGCCAACACATTCTTTACATCACAGAGTTTTACTAGACAAGTGTAAAGGAAAACAGGAACAGAGCAGAGAGGATAAAGGTAGCAATCATCACACCATCAACTCAAAATGACTTCACCAGTAAGACACATTTTCTCCTGGTAACTGCCAAGTCAGCCAGCCATGTTTCAAGCAGCACAGCAGGGGCAGATGTGAGACAGAGCTAAGGTAGTTAGCATTAACAGGTCTGAAGACTTTGAAGCTCCTCATGCAAAAGGAGCATGTGGAGAAAACTGCACTATCTGGGATTGAAAACTAGTGTCAGAAAGACACACAGTGTAACTTCATATCATATAAAGCTCAGGTAAAAAAATTAAACAACCAACAGAAGCAAGCCATGAAGACCCCAATAAAGACAGCAAGTCAGATTAGCTGACTGGGATGTATACTGTTACAAAATTAACTGGAAAACATAGTTAAGTACTACATAAAGCATTTGGTATTCTATTGCATACCAATTGCAATGAAGTGGGTTTGCCTCTAAGGAGGCCAAATAACATTTATTCTTTGAAATTCACTGTAATTTTTATCAACAATACTTCTGCAGCAAAAAACATATGGTGTGTGTCCCCTGCCTTGCTTTTCTCATCACATGCTTTCCATAACAATGTAATCTTGTATCTTGTAAAACCATTAAAATCTTAAAATTATGCATTTTACAGATGTGTAAAGTTTTTTCTTTCTGAATAGGACAACCATGGAGCTTAAGCCATGTTTCAAATACAACTGAGATTTTAAAAACAGAGAAGCATTTATTTTAAGATCCTTAATACTGGTTACACATTCACACTGGACAGACAGTTCTCCTAAGCTGAGTCTCTTCTACTTACAAGTGGCACTAACAATGCCTTGGTGTTTTTCTCCCCGGTCACAGTTTGCAGTATATACCACCAGAAATTTTGCAATTTTAATGAATTTTCACGAGTTCTGAAAAAGCAAGTATTACCTTTGCATTTCTTTTGGGTGAGCAACCCTTTGTCATAGTGTAAATGCTCATTTGTGTCATAGAAATACACTAAGAGTTCTCATATTTATACATATAAAGCAATTAAAAAATACTTCAAAATGATTTTTTGGCTGAGAACTACACTGCAATGAATGACATAAAAGAAAAGCAGTGTTTAGAAAAGGGGAAGGAAACACTCATAGTTGAGCAACAGTGGTTGGGCATATTGGAACAGTGCACTGGACGTCTTCAAGGGAGTCAGATAAAGGATCATCAGAAAGATAGTATTTTGAGTCAAAGCCTGATGTTGCTTGAAGTAAATCCTATAACTGGGACAATGTTGCTAAGCTGCTCAACTGAAGGTTGTGGGTTTACCTCCCCTTTGAACATCCTGTCTCAACACTGATGCTCAACAAAAAAATTGAAACTCAGTAGTCATGATAGAGAGGCACTAATTTTAGCAGAACTGCAGCAGTGTTTCTATGGCAAGGACATATGAACTTCAGAAATATATGACAGAAATATGACAACATTTAAAAGCTTGATGTGACACCAGAGTTTGGCTACCTTCTTAAGATTGACAGTAGCTGAACTATCTCTGTTCAGTTAAAAACAATCAAAACCCCCTTTAAGTTCTAGTAATGTAACACAGAAGTTCTCTTTAAGGCCGTGGCAGGAATACTTGCCTCACTAGAAGGCAGAAATTACATGAACACAATTAATTCAATTTTGAGAGTACCAGTGACACATCATGAGTCCATCACATTTCTCTGAAATGTGAAGTAATGTGAAGTAATACTTCAAATGACTAAGTAGTATCCTCACCAGCTGGAACCTATGCAGTTCCTGCATAGGCTTGTGAGTGGGGCTTGAATGTGTCAACACAGTCACACACATTCTGCATGCAACCAAGGCATACTAGTGCTGAGATTTTCAACTGGACAAACAAAAACATAAACTTCGACAAAAAGAACCAAAAAGGTCCTTAAGTACTTTGTTGCTAATACACCCTGAGAGAATCTGCCTACTGGCTTCAGCTGCCACATAAGAGTTTGTGCTCATCAATATATTCAGCAGTCATTTACAAGCAAGAGGCCTGCTGCCTGCCAGCTATCTGCATTCCATGTGAAATTTGTCAAACTGAGTTTCTTATTTGTGAGCAAGTACCAGCCAGACTCTGCTGAAGGAATCCACCACATTTTCACTTGCACAACTTGTGTGTCATAGCTCATACCCATTAAATTACTGCTACCTGAGAATAAATCCACATACAGTCTGGGGCATGAGGGTGCGGGGGGAAGAGTAAACTCAGGGGAAAGGAATGAAAGAAATAGCTGTTGGGTGATGAAAAGGCAGAAGAGGGGATTTAAGGATAAGCTTCCTTGCAATACTACCACATCCACATAACATGATCCAGCAGGAGTACAACTAACCTCTTAAACTTGTTAGACACAAAAAAGCATATTAACTGCTTTCAAAAACTGCAAACTGAGCTACCAACTCCTAGATGTAAGGGCTCCTTAACAAAAGTGGGTACTAGCGCTTTACCAGTTCCAGCATTCCCCACCCAATGACTTTTCAGATTAACATACATACAAGTATACAACAAATCTGTAATATAAAGAAAGCGTGTTTCATTAAGTCCATTTCAATAAGAAAAATGAAAAAGTTTCTGATGCAAGTTTCATACATGCAAAGAAACTGAACAATGAATCTGTAAATGAAGTTTTTGCTTAGATATACATGTTCCACAGTGAACTGTGACTCTCTTAATAAGCAACTTTGAACAGGAATTGTATTTAAAATGTATTGCTTAAAATTCTCAAGAAAAAATCCTGCAGCAGTAATAATTAAAAAAAAATTAAAAATCACTTACCAGTGCTCATATTTGTTTTAATGAAGTCCAAAAAGTGAGGTGCACATACTGAATTCTAGAACTTTAAATATTAAGTAATGATAAGAGAAACACAGCTTGGTGATCACTCAATTAGCTCAATCAATTAGTGGAGAAAGACTGGTATAGTCCATTTGCAAGAAGAAAATATGAAGGCTGATTGACATATTTGCTTGGAAAATATCCAGCATCAATAAGGAAAATATGAATAAGAATTTCAACCTCATTTTAATAAATACTTCTGAAAATGCTTTTATCGGGAAGTTCTCAGAGTTATTCCACATATAGTTAAAATAGCCTGCCCTGATTGTTCTGTAAAGACACGGGTCTAGTGACCTGAGTATGTAATTACTTCAAATAAGTATTCAAGCTGCAGAAGTAAAAAATGCAATTCAAGGGTAAAAATATATGTAATCATAATTACTTACCTGCAATTTAAGCACCTTTGGAAACATTTTGCCACTGAACAGATCTAAGAATATGCTTTTACTACGTAAGACTATTATCTTGGCAAGATCTTTCTCATGGTTTTCAGTAAGACCCTTCTGAAGTTCAGCACTGCACTCAAAACTACAACCATTACTGTTGCAAACTCATACAATGTAGCTTTCACTTAGGTTTTATGCTGTCAGTGCATGGTACTCATCTTCGACTAGAATCAGAGATAGAACAAGTAACTGACGATTAGGACTCAAGACTGAAGACCTAGTTCAGACCAGATAGGAAGTGGAAATGAAGTTTAAAAATTACTAAAACCACGTCTTCATCTGCTACGGGAAGTACCTGTAACAATAGCATGCAATTCTCAGATCAGGCATTTGCTGAAGAAACTGCGAGACAACAGCATGCAACAGCATTTTCCCTACAATACTTTTCCAGCAGATTCGCAGCTTAGAGACCTTCTGAGGTTTGTGCGTGGGTCACATCAGAATACCTGTAATGCCCATTACCTTTAGATGGAGGCTCCTTTCATAAAAAGCTACAAGTTCTGGGCAAAGACATCCACAGTTTTAAGGTAGACAAGTACTTTTTTCTTAAGGCCACATCATCTTACAACAGTTACCTTGTTGCATCTGTTTGAAATGGTACATACTCTCTTCCTCTATCAAGAAGGGCGAGTCTTCATTCATCTGCATTTAACTGAACATAATCTATTCCCTTCAAGAAATTCCTGGGCTGCACAGTTCAGCTCAGACCACTTGAATTTAGAACAATTTTATCTTTTTCTTTTATTTTCTGTTCCAGAATAAACAGTTTAAAATTCTTACCCTTCTTGTGACTTTGAGAGAGTCAGATCACCATAATTTAGCATGTTCTGACAGCTTAAATTAACAGCCATAAGAGGATCCATGGCAACTGCCCAGACATGTATTCGCAGACTGCTAGGCTGTGCAAGGCCATCACAAATTAGTATGTTTGAGCTTAATCTGATTTAAATTACCTAAATTTCCAACAGACCAAGAGCGTGCACAGCACTAACTGCTGTGACCCCATTGTGATACAGCAGCTGCACCAATTTGATGTTGCCCATGAGCCTTCTAAACAACAGTAAACATATTTTTATTGTTCTCAAAGATTTCAACTTCCTTCCACAACAAGCCATATGTGGCCTTTAACTGTAGCTTTAAACTACATTTTTTTCCTCATATTTACAGATTTTTACATATTTTCTCGTATTTACAGCTTTTTCTCATATTTACACATTTTTCTTTTCATCATGAGCAGGAGGAGGAAGGCCTGCTTCCTCTCTGCTGGAATGGACATCAAAACAAACATCTCCCCAAAACTAGCTCTTACCCTTTTTTAGCCCATCTTCTCCTAAAGAGATAGTACTGTCCCTCCCTTTTTTCCAGTATTTATGTATCAGAAAGCTGAACAGTGAAGGAAATAAGCTCCATTACATTGATGTGACAAAACACAACAGGATACAACTGTACCATGGGCCCTGATGGGATGCATCCATGAGTACTGAGGGAGCTGGCAGATGTTATTGCTGTGCCACTCCCCATGATCTTTGAAACATCATGGAGAACAGGAGAGGTGCTCAAGGCCTAGGGAGAAGACAATGACACCCCAGTCTTCAAAAAAGGCAAGGAGAACACATGAAACTACTGGCCAGTCAGCCTCACCTCCATCTCTGGAAAAGTGATGGAACAGCTCATCCTGGATGTCACCTCGAAGCACGTGGAGAACAAGAAAGTTTATCAGGAGTAGCCAGCATGGATTCACCAAGGGGAAATCGTGCTGGACCAATCTGATAGCCTTCTGTGATGGAATGACTGTCTGGGTATATGAAGGGAAAGCAGTGAATGTTGTCTACCTTGACTTCACCAAGGATTTTGACACTATCTCCCACAACATCCTCATAGGTAAGCCCAGGAAGTGTGTGTTAGATGAGTGGACAGTGAGGTGGGTTGAGAATGGGCTGAATGGCAGCGCTCAAAGGGTTATCATCACTGGTGGAGTCTAGTCAGAGGACTGTAGCTTGTGATGATCCCCAGGGGTCAGTACTGTACTAGGGCCAGTCACTACAGTTCAACTTATTCATCACTGGATAAAGGGACAGTATATCCTCAGCAAGTTTGCTGATGATACAAAACTGGGAGGGGTGGCATTTCCCAGGAAACAGCTAACCCATCTGGAAATTCATAGGTACACAGAAAAATCAAGCTGGGAGCTCGTTTAGGGCTCTCACAATTGACCTTCAGTAGCAGTTGAAGTCATCAAATTTAACTGAAAGTAACAGCTGAGCTAAGAGGTAAAACCGGGTACTTTTCCAGAGTGTCTAAATACCTGTCTGGCTCTTCAGCAACAAGCTTTAAAGCTACAGTTAAATTTAAATTTTTGCAAACAGTGTTGTGCTTTAATAACAGAACACAGGAAAATGAGCTTCTGAAAAATAACAGCTTTAAGCAAGAAGCTAAAGGAGGAAGAGTCCTAAAATTAAAGGACATATTTACAGGAAAATCTACTGTGAAGTATTCTTTATAGTTTGTATCCTGTATAATTCCCATCTTCCAAAAATGTTTGAACAAATAGCTTTTACTTTGAGAAGGCAGCATATTCAGAAACAGGCTGCTCTCACAGTTCTCAGGCACCAACAGGTCTGTCTTCTCCTTCCTCAGTCATACCAGTATTTGCACCAAATTGTAACAACGCTTAAGAGAAGTGACAAGTTCTACTTATATTGCAGGCACTCCACACACTTTACAACTAGAAGTTCAAAACTCCACAACAAAAGTACACAACTGAAAGGTTTTAATTCCAACTTCCATTTGAAAAATTCTACTATCAGAAGATGATCCCAGACAGTCCAGAGGACAAAGGAGAAGTACTGAAACAGAAGTTGGTCACTCATCATTAAGAGCTGTAACTGCAGAATTTGTTAATGGGGAGTAAGAACTATTTGACACTTCAAAACAACTAAGTCTGCAACCACTCAGAGTAGAAGTAGTTCTGCTTAACATACAAATCTTCAGCAGCAGGCGTAAAACTCAATATGGTAAAGCTATTCGATTTTCTTCTAGATGAAATCTAGTACATAAACCACTGCACTCATACACAGTACTTTTCTGTTAGTCAAAGCCTACATAGTTTGCAGTAGTCAGAACCAACAAACCTAAGTTCCATGTTGCTGCATGACTTACCCGGACGAGTGCATCATCTATGATGTGATCACGTCTCACTTTAAGCCGCAAATATGGGTTCAGCTGCTGTCCTTGAACTAAGCTGTAAAGCACAGTTATGCGTCTTTCACTGTACATCCGGATTCTATTGTCATAATACAATCCCAGGTTCTTGGTAACAGCATTCAATATGAAGGGGCAGGTCATAAAAGAGAATTTATTTTCTGTTTCTACTTTGAAGAAAGTGTAGTCTTTGTCCATTTCTAGAACATCATTCAGTGGTTCATTAATAAATTCTTCAAAAGGGATAAGTGGTTTTCTGCAATCTATAGTTTTAACACCAAGTTCAGTTTCCAGCGGGTCCACTCGAGGACCTTTTTTATTTCTTCTTTCCTCACCCAACAGCTCTTGAAGAGTTAGTTCACTTGATTCTGGGATGGGTTCTTCATCTTCCTCTTCATTATGATCTGTATCCACATCCCCTCCTACTACGTTTGCATAGTAAACCATTTTCAAGCACTTTGAAGCAGCAACAACAGCATCATCATCATTCACTAGGTTACGACTATTGAACTCATTGCTTATGACTTTGTAAGTAATAAGCTGCTGAAATGTTTCCATCATTCTCCGAATTTGGTCTGCTCTGTACTTAGACCACAATCTGACCAGTTTTGCTTGAGCTGCAAGGGGCAGTTTGCTCATTGCTTTGCAAAACAATGGTAGAGCCATTTCCAGATACTCTGGGCTATGAAGATTGCCATTCTCCATAACAATAATAAACAAATTCAGATAGTTAGGATCCCGAGAGTACACATTATGGTAAGTCAAGTCACATTCCACATTAGGTGACAAGTACACGAGTGCATTTAAAAAGGCAGTTTCTATTTTTTCATTAGAAAGTAATCTATCATAGACCCGTCTGACTGCTTCAATATCTACAGACACTTCATCTGGGCCTAGTTTTTGGAGGTTATTATCTCCCTGTGTGTTATCACCTATTCTTGATGACGAAGATGATGATGCACCTGAATCTTCTTCCATAGCAGCAGCCGAACAGGCAGCTTTTTCCTTTTCGTCTTCATCTTTGTCTTCATCCTTTCCTTGAAGAGACTTGAGCTCCTCCTTGGTGTGCTGCTTGGCTTTTCGGAAACTCTGTACCAATGCTTCAGCACTAGAAAATACTCTCCCAATCACCCGGATTAAAGGGGAATAATCCTCTTTCTCTCGACATAGTTCAAGAATTTCATATATCTTGTCTTCTGTTAGAAAAGTCACATCTATAGAGAGAGAAAGGATTAATTTTATTAAGATAAAATACTTCTAATTTGCTCTACTCAGTGTGTACCATATCATTAACACCAGAAAAAAAACAGTGTCAGTGTTGAATAAATTTAAGACAGATACTTTATAATTTCATTCACTATAATCATGTAAAATATTTTATTTATGGATGTTGATCCCTGATCGAGAACATGCTCAACAGTAAAACTGTTTTCCAGCCAGTTAACTGCATTTGGTAGTTAACAGTACTGTATCATCTAAACAAGAGCAACTAAATCAATAAGATGTTTAAACTTCAAAAGTCTTAATGAATATGACTCTGTGACAACAGTCTTCCAGTAAATCTGCACAGCTCATGTGTAAGTCATTAAACTATACACCAACTAAACTGTATCAACATCTTTTTTCAAACACAGCAGATATGTATGGACTTCACACTCTCTTTCTCCCTTGAAAATAGACTTAAAAATCCAATAATTAGTTTTGTTGAATATTAATGGGTATATAAGATTACTTATTTTTAATGCTTTCTGCAACTGTTTTTATTCTAAACTGATGCCTGAAAATCCTCTTAAAAACCACAATACATGTTCAGAAATTTATGCTGCCTTCTAAATTACACAGTTGAGTATGTGGGTTATCTTTTTGTACATTAGGCCTCACCGAGACAAACATCTTGAGTATACTCATCAACATGCTATTCAGATGAACAAGCTAGTTTACATACATCATTTGCATGCACTCCGAATACCTGTCTCTTGCCACCTCTCCCCAAAACCCCTGATATGGAATGAGTCCTTTTGTTATTTGAAATCTTCCTTTCTCGTTAGGAAAAACAGTATTTATAGCTTTTCTACACTACTTCTCAAACAGAACCCACAGATTCTTTCACATCAGGTGATGATTTAGAGTAGGATTACCACATGATCAGACCCTGAAAAGATGTTCTAGTTTAAGCAGATTTTTCTGAACTGACACATAATTTAGAACTAAAACAGAATCTGTTTAATAGCATCTCTAGAGATCTAAAAACCGCTCATCACAGCACTGTATTCACCAACCATGCTAGAACAACTATCTGTGCAGAAAGGAGGAAGCATATAATTTTAATAAAGACAGTCCTATGTTAAAAGTATTTTGAAATGTGACTGCCTACGCTAATATTCATTCCAAGCAGTCATGAAATTAAAAATACAAACTAAATGATGCAAAGACAGACAACCTATTGATTTCTGCAGAGCCCTAAGCCATTCTTAGAGCACATATAACACAGGAAAGATTAAGCTTATGTCACGCTACTCATATTGACTTCCAACCAATCTGAAGACAGTGAAAAAGTTTCAAAACTAAAATCCATCCTGTTAAAACAACAGCAGCATTGAAAATATTATGAAAGGATTCAAGCTTAGTGCAACATCTCCTATTTGTACTTGCTGCAGCGCAGGTCCAAGAAGCAAAGTTGACTAAAAGAAAATTAACTGCTCATACAGATGCTGTTTCATGCCATAGCTCTTCAAAATGAGGACCATAGCCTCAAGTTCACCAACTCTGGATTGCAGAGGTTACAGCATAAAAGTTATCAGCAAAAGTTGACTATTTAACAACACTTCAGATTTCTGTAGTTGCAACAGGAATTCCCTAGTCATTCTTTTAAAGGTTTACTATTTAGTATTAAAGAATCTAACCATGTGCTATTTCCAGTTAAAATATTTAGTATTACCATTAGCAGTTTGATAACAGTTTTAAATCATATCCTTCGACCATCCCCTAAGCTATCACAAGAGTCTGCCCCATTTTTACTTTACAGTAGTGAGAACAGCTGGAGAAGAACAAATATATAATGAAGTTTTTTTCTAACTCAAGTAAATTTTAGCTGAATTGTGTCTGGATATGTGAGCTTCTATATGCCTTCTCCTCTCATGTTTTCTATTGCAACTAAGTGATCCAGTGAAGTGATCTCCTCTCAGACCCTGGTCTCAGTAATACTCCATGACAAATCCATACATGAAGTCAAGCTTTAGCCATGATCCTTGACTGTGGAGAAAGACTGCATGTGACATACTTACTGCCAACAACACACTCCCCAATTAACAGACTTATTAATTATCTTTTCATTATCCCTTATGGAAAAACTTTGTTGTCAGTTTCCAGTTTAATGTTCTGGTCAAACATAGGTTTCCATAAGTTAAAAATAGCTTCCCAGGTAATAACCACAGATTTTGAAATGTCCCTCTCTCTGACTACTTTTGTAACCCATGATTTCAATAGATTTGTAATTTCACCGTTCCCTTCCTATTTCTGGACAGCCATCTAAGATACTACTGAGATGCTGACAATGGCTTACAGGTACATTTTTCTCCAAAAGTAATAAATAGTCTTAGGTCTTAGCACTACAGAAAAGTAATTTAAGTAATTATTTTTGAAGGGTATTTTTTTCATTTTATTTAGAACTTTCAATCCTATGTCAAGCATAAAAGCAAGCTGCATATCTTTTCCTTGGCTTGCTTAACTGCAGTTTTCCCAGTAACTGTTACTGCAGATGGACCTTAAAAAAAAAAATAAATAAAAAATTCAGAGTGCTGAATTCCCTAGACATCATCAAGTTCCAAAGGTAATTCAGAGTCTCCAATGGGCTTTAAGAATGCATTAATGCTCTCTGTCCATAAAGCTACAAAGACAGGTCAATAATTGAGATGCTGCAACAGATCAAGTCTGAATCACTGCTTTAGACAAAAGACTGACTCTGCGGATGGGTTGAGAGGACTCTTTAGATATCTATCTTGGGGAGAGAGCACAGTACAGTCAAAACGAAGAAGTTCTATATGTGCATGTCTCCATTAAAAATACACAAAATCCAGAGACAAATCACAAAACAGACCTAATGTGCCTCTTGCCCATCTCACATTACACTGGGTTCCCTTTCCCCTCCGTACTGTTTGCCTCTCTGCTTACTCAGATCATAAATAATCTGGGGACAAATTTATCTGTGCATCAGATAAAGCACAAACAGATGTAGGTAGGTATTGACTGGAGCATCTTAAGTGTCTTGTAACATAGTATGTTTTATTGCTGATTCTGTAGGGCTTCTTAATTCTTTACTGTAAACAGTTTCACCTTCTTTAGGTAAAATGAATGAATCTGAACTTCTGTGTTTACACCACTTAGAACAATGATACTTAAAGGTCTGCTCAAAGGTTAATGGCTTTAATTTCATTTAATTTAGCTTCTGCTTGCACCACAGGGTTTGGCAACACTGTAATATTTATTTAGTATTCTACAGAGTTTGAAAAGCTAGCTAGAAGTTAGAAAAGACATACAGAACAGTTTTTCATTTTTGTACACTGGCTTAGATATCACTTTGCTTAATTTTTAGCTTGGTCAAAGTACTGCCTATCATCCACTATATCATTTTTTGTTCCTCTGTTATGTTTCTTAACAGAATCTGGAATTAGTTAAAGCTTAACTTTTATAACTCATTAACTACAGAAGAGTTGCAAAACTAAAGCAGTCATGCAACAGCATTTAAAAAAACCCAACCTCTCCATATTTGCAAAGCCAGTAATCTCAGAAAGCAACAAATGCACATGGATTTTCCTTTCCAACCCTAACTATTCTATGATTTTAACAGGGAAGTGGTAAAGATACAGATTTGGAATCAGCGTGCAGCATTAATTCAGCCATTTTTCAGAATCCATAGTAAAATTCTTGATTGCCCAATATTGTATTTTAAAGCCAGCAGAAACCCCCCACATTCAGCAGAACACCACCACAATGAATTCTGTAATTGTGCTTACGAAATGTGTTTTATGAAAAAACAAAAACAACGTCTTACCTTTAAAGTCATCTCTTGGGCCTTGCATTTCCTTCTTGTTCATTTTTCTGTCAGTGCAGGAATTGTTATGGGCACCTTTGGAATTGTTTTCTAGGTAAGCTGAGCTCGTTCCTTTCTTGGAGGGATGAGGATCACAGAGTTTTGCATTAATCTTATAAAGCTCGAGGGCCTTAATGGCTGCTGCATTGTTATCCATACGGAGAAAAGTTGGACAGGAAGCACAAAATTCATTCGTGCAGGCTTCATTTCCACAGCCCTCAGTTAACTGGTGGTAGTAGCGCTCTATTAGATGCTTTGCAGCTGCTCGCTTCCTGTAGCAAACATTCAAACAGTAAGTACAAGGATTAGTAGAGCTTTCACATACAAAGCTCATTCAAAAGCATCAGCAAGGCAGAGATTAGTCAGGCACTGAAACACAAGATTTCTGTCTCAGAGAGGACACACCAGGAGGGTTTTTAAATGCAGGATTCTCATCTTGACAAATGCAAATATATTTAACACAATTTAATTTGTGGGGCCTATGTAAGTGAAAGGTAAATCCTATTTATGCAGTATTCAGCTTTACATTTTAGTGTTACAGTGGACGCAATCTTGTTCAGTTCTGAACAATCTCAATTATCACTAGAAGAGAGACCAATTCAGATGCAAAGCAAGGCTCCGAATGAAACAGAACTGGATCTCATACAGGTGAGTCTAACACATAGTACTGAGGTATGATTGCCACTGAGACAGAGAGAAGAGATATGAAATACAAACAATTCACCCATTTATTTAATAATACTAGCAATACTACACCAATACGATCTAAAGCCTTTAAAAATCTAACCCATTTTTTAAACAACTTAAAGTTTCAGATATTTAGTCTGTCTAAATCTGTAAGAAAAATACTGCTTGGTTAATTAAACTGATGACACAACCACAACTGCAGATGAGCTGAAGGTTGAATGTAATTCCCCTCTGCTTAGTAAGTTATATGATTCTCAAAAAAAACCCATTCACCAAATCCTCTCCTTTCTCCTGCAATTATACATGGCAAGTATGTATGTTGCAGAATTACAAGTGCATTGCTATATATGTCAATGTGCTCAGTACTTTATATACACACAAGAAAATTTAACTGGCAATTAATATGGTCACAGACATACAGAAACATGCAAATAGTAAAGAAATCACTGGAAAGCTGCAGGTAATTGGGACTGCATGCCACACCAAGAGTGCCATATTTGACCACATTTTGGCAAGAAATGAAGTTTTGGGGGTTTAAGAAAACAAGTTATTAATGAAAAATATCAGCTATGAAACATTTCAAACATCAGGTGAAACATGCAAGCTTTTTACCTAACTTTAGTGATACAGTACTATAAAGATTAGAACATGTGAAGAAAGATTTTAATCAGAAATTGTGTTAAAGTTGCCTCTTCCAACGTTGACGCATGCATAGATTCTGCACAGAACAAGTATGAGAGAACTGAAGTACTAGACCCCCTGGTACTACTCAGTACTTGCTGCACCTAGGTCTTAATGCTGTTTTGTTAAATATCAAGAGTTTGAATGTAGCTGTTTCAGAAGGGAAAATGTCCTCAAGTTCTGAAAGTAACAACTGAGGCATGTATTATTCAGCAATACGCTTTTGCTCCTTCCTTTTCACCCTTCAAGATCTCATGAGCCTGGGGAAGAAAATATTTCTTACAAAGAATACCATTACCTCAATGTCTACTTAACCTTCCAAATGCCCCAGTGCGTTCCATGACAAAAAAAAAAAAAAAAAAAAAAAAAAAAAGAATTGAGAAGTTTCCCTGGCACTTTGAGATGAAGTTGAAAGACCATTAAAAAAAAATTAAAACAAGGCAGCATGAGAAATACCATCAAAACCACCACTGTATAAACAGGGAATAGCAGCATTCTGATCCAAGGAAAGAGTTCTAGCCCCTCCCATTTTTATATGTAGACTTAAGAAAACTTGCATTTCTCCATGTACCCATAAAAACTCAAGGCTTTTTTGATCTTGTCTTTCATACTTCAGCTTTTAGGACAGAGGCTTTAAAAAACCCAAGCGTTTTAATACAGCTTAGACCAGTACATGATTTCACAAACACCTATTTCTGAATGACAAGATTCCATGCTTTAATCATGCTTGACTTTCAGTCATTCCAGACCTTCAGATTTAGAGTGTGAAATACTGTCATTTGTTAGCAGGTAAGTACACTATGTGAAAGCCTTTCTTTGTTAATACTGAATTTTTACACTTGAGCTATGGCCACCTGTCTCTCCAATATGCTCCTTATTTAGTCCTCTTTCAGTCTCTCCTATACATACAAAATGGTTGTTACTTCATACACACATTACCATTTTATCCTTCCGTCTTATTCCTCCACTGCAGTCTATATGTAGATCACAAGTTTTTTGCTGTAATCTTCTGACCTATGTAATATACCTACAAACCTTATATGGATTATTTCTCACAGCAGTTCTAAGTGTATGTGTATATATATATATCTCACTGAAGGAGATTTTTGATGAGCGTATGTGTATATCTAATGTGTTGCATATATGTGTGTGTATATATATATATATATATATATATACAAAAAGGGGTATGTGCATTTAATAACTTAAAGCAACTGGAGTTATTTGGATTAGATATATTGTGAAAAGCTGACCAATTCCTTAAGAAAGGAGAACTTATGTTTTCACATTGGAGAAATTGTTAGTCTTGGAGAGGCATGCACACCTTCCTAACTTACATATCTAGTTTGAATGAAGTTATTTCAATGTAGAAACATTGATACATGAACACATTTTAACATATTAAACAGTACTTCAATGACATCCTGACATGCCAGGAGACAAAGCTAAGCTTAGACTTGTCTCTAACAGTTAACTTCTGAAGAACTCAAGAAATTTTGCTTCCAATATTAAACTACCAACTACTTCTCAAACTGAGCCATGCCTACAATAATGCTGCTTGTACAAACATTTTTATTTTGACTCATAGCTGCAACCTCACTGACTGAAGTTCTGTGAAATTCTATTAGAGACAGAAGTCTGCCTGAATTTATTTAATTTTTTTTTAAAAAAATCAACTATGAAAGCAAACAGTACAAGAACCCACCAATATCAGAATTTCTTCCCACTTCTTCCCAGTGGGCTTTCCGCAGACTTTTGACATGGCCTCAGATAAATTATTTAAGTAAATAAAAGAGGTGGATACTTAAAGCAAGCATACAGACCTCAGAAGGTAGAAGGGAATTTAGTGAGCCTTCCATAAGAGCTACCCTTACTGAGGTCCACCCATGAAAGCATTTACAGAGAATGCAGTTCTGAGTAAGCCAGTGTGTGATTTTTACATAACAGTAAGTTACTTCATACAACATTCCCATTGGTACTTGACGAATTACTGTCACTATCCAGTGCCACATTTCCTATATTATTAAGGAAAAAAACTCGTAGCGTATCTTCCTTGTTAAAAAGAGAGGTAAAAAACTTGATCACTTTCTACATTCCCTTGCTCATTTAGGATGCAGAAAACTTAAGTTCTTAGCCTGAGACATTAAAACTGGGTCATTAAGCAAGGTAACATAAAACCCATCTCTATTCTTAGCTCACACTACCCAGCAAAGACTGCAGCTCCCTTTAACTTCCTATACAAGGATCTAGTGAAGAGTAAGTTGTCCCTTATAAATCTAATTACCAGTTTACTATGTGTTAGCACACAGACACCTTCTAGCATTACTGAGGCTGCAATGACTGACTTTTATATATGTTTGCAAAGACTCACAGTGTTGTTGCACATCCAAGTATGAAACTGCACCAGTGTGGCTGCAGTTGTAAACATTTCACAGGCATATCCTTATGCCCTAAGGATAACTTCTCACACACCGGGACTTGCATAACCTCCTCAAACAAAGACACACTACTTCATGAGAAGGAAAGGCACCTAAACCAGACATCACCTTCCCTGCCAAAGGAACAATTTCATCAGCATAATTTTTCTCTTTAAAAATAAATTTGTATTCACTGACTTACTTCTGTAGTACTTTAAAAAAAAAAAAAAAAAAAAAAAAAAAAAAAAGAAGGAATGCCTTTATACTTTTTAATTGCTTTTTACCTAATAAAGTCAGGTGATAAATACTTTGCATATGTAATTTAAATGCTGCCAAAACTGTGAGGCATCACAAGAAATGTGCACCGCTGAGCCTCTGCCTTTAAAGATACTTAGGCAAAGGTGCACTGGGCTGCATTTTGGGTCTTAAAACTAATTTCTGAATGTCTGAAACCAGCACCTAATTTGCATTTCTCAAATAAACTAAATAGAGAAGTACTACATAAAGGACACTACCATGACAAACTTTTGTGACAGGAAAAAAAAAAAAAAATCAGAAATTTAAACGTTTAAGGAATTCTAGGAAAAAAATTTGAAGCATAATTCTTTAGAGTCCATCTACAAAGCAAAGAATTTCTACCCAAGTTTCAAAACTTTCCTGAAATTAAAAATGCATGCATAGTTTTAGGTTTACATTACCTAAATTTGAAACCTTCATACACGTCTTACTTTTTTAGAAGTATCTGTATAAAGTTACATATTTCTGATTGGTTTCTGCTTGGGACATAACTTTTATCTTATTTGTACACAGAAGTCTGACACCACTCCAAGATGACCAATTTTAGTAAATGGAAATTTATAACGGCCTGTTTTAACAAAACTATTAGGAATTCAGAAGTGCCAAAATGTTCATTTGCTGTTTTCTTTCTCATGAAAAAAACCCACAAAACAAAAAAAACCCAACACAAAAGAAAAAAACCCAACAAAAATATTAACACATATGGAAACCAGAGGAAATTTATGTTTGTCTTTTGGGTAGGAAAACTCCAGGGAACAGGTTTTTTAGTACTAATAGTAAACCAACTTTCAGTATATGCCTTAACATACAGGAGCATAAAGAAACTTATACACCTGCAACAATTTTATACTTGGGATCTAAGATGACCAGCAAATCAAAAGCTGTTAAAAAAAAAGTGTGGGTTATGGATGAACATCTGTCAAATACTGCTTTCCAAGAGTTCCAGTTTACAACCTTGCATGTCGGTTTTCTGCTTCTGTTTAGTTAAAAACAGCAATGTTAGAGAAGACAAGCTTCCAGTAAAAGCACTGCCCACACAGACCCTTTTGAAGTGGCCTCCACAGTGAACTGCCAAACACTCCACCCAGAGCTGGAGCCAAGCCCTCTGTTCCAGCAGTGTTGTAACATCCTTAGCTACTGGCACCTCGGCGAATGTACATCTGCAAATGCACGTAACTTACGGAGCTCAC